AATACTCCCCCCCCCAAATTAAAAAAAAAACACCAACATTTTCAGGGTATGAGCTTTTGAGAGTGGAAGCTCTTGACAAAGGATAAACATATGGAGCAGAGGTCCATCAGTGGCTGTTAGTCACAAGGTATAGATAGGAACTCTCAGTCTGGGGCAAGGGATGCTCTGTATTCTTGGTGCTTGGGGGGGTCAACAGTGGGAGGGCTTTTAGTGTCCTGGCCCCACTGGTGGACCTCCTGATGGCACCTGGTATTTCTGGCCACTGTGTGACCAAGTGTTGGACTGGATGGGCCATTGGCCTGACCCAGCATTGGCTTCTCTTATGTTCTTATATGGAGCAGAGGTCCATCAGTGGCTATTAGCCACAAGGTATGGATAGGAACTCTCAGGCTGGGGCAAGGGATGCTCTGTATTCTTGGTGCTTGGGGGGGGCAACACTGCTGGGCCTCCTGATGGCACCTGGTATTTTTGGCCACTGTGTGACAGAGTGTTGGACTGGACGGGCCATTGGCCTGATCCAACAGTGGATTCTCTTATGTTATGAGGGAATTGGATAAACTTATGGAGCAGAGGTCCATCGGTGGCCCTTCGCTTGGAGTCTTACAGCAGCTTACAATCGCCTTCCCTTCCTCTCCCCACAATAGACACCCTGTGAGGTATGTGGGGCTGAGAGAGCTCTGAGAGAACTGTGACTGACCCAAGGTCACCCAGTTGGCTGCATGTGGAGTATTGGGGGATCGAACCCGGTTCTCCCAGATTAGAGTCCACCGCTCTTAACCACTACACCAAACTGGGTCCCCAGACGACAATCTCCAAACCACTACGCCAAACTGGAGGTGGAGTGCTTGTTAGGGAAAGGCACACAGGCAGGTGACAGAGGTGTGCCAGAAGGGGCCAGTGGTCATGGGCCCTGCCAGAAATCCTGGACCCCGACAGATGGGAGTACACTGATACCAGCCCTGTTTCCTCCTGCTCACGGTGTGGGAAAAGACAACTGGTAAACTAACACCAGTGACTATTGCCAAGTGGTCCCTGGGGCTCTGGCAGAATTGCTAGAGTGTGATCATTCTTGCTCCTGGCCGCCAGTGGACCTCTAGGGCAGTGGCCAAGTGGGAAATCTCCCTGTCAGTTAAATGGCCAGTCTGCCCCTGGATGTAGGAACCTTCCGCACGCAGGTGCCAAAGCCGAAGGATTAAAACAGTACCCCTTACCAAAGCTTATCAGGCTGCAACACACACAGTGTACTTAACAGCACACGCCAGTGTTTGTTACGATGTGCCCCACATATGTATTCCGCAGGCCATAGGGCTATCTTCCCTTAGCCCCTAGTTCTCCTTTGGAATATCTATTGGATTTGGGGCCCTCCTTCACGCATGTGAAACCTAGGTGGTGAAAGGGGGAATGTCTTTCTTTTCTATGTGCTGGTGACAGTGAAAGAGCTACCCCCCCCCCCCAAAGAGGCTGATACAGAATATGGGAACCTGGAGAACAAGTGTCCCGTCCGAATTTGAAGAACGCACGGAACCGGTGTTCTGCACAGACGATACCTGCCCCATTAATCTGGGGCTTATCTCCATCGGCACGAGCACTGCAGGCCAATCACACTTTGATCACCACCTCCATAACTTATCCACTTGACTCTACTTTTGTTTAGGCGTGGGCAGGGGGTCATTTCGTAGAAAAAGAGGTGCAGGAGCTCAGTAGCATAACTCATTAGCATAACTCATTTGCATGTGCCACACCCCCTGACATCACCGGAAGGGGTGCAAAAGGCAACCCCCACCGCTGAGGCTCCACTGGACTGTTCTGGATTGCTAGCTATTGGGGGGGGGCATGCAGATCTGTCCTCACAGAGGAGGGAGAGCTCGTACCTGAATAAAACTTGGTCTTAAAGGTGCCACTGGACTGTTTTGAACCGGGGGGCGGGGGGGGGGGCTCTGCAGCTTACCTGGCTGCTTCTTGCTCTGACTGAGGGCTGCTGGGAGCAGGGGGTGGGGCTTGTTCCATATGCCCGCCCCCTGGGCTCTTTACTGCTGGAGCTCCGCTCCTGTGTGCTCCTGCAGGAAATGACCCCTGGGCGGGGTACAATAATGGTGCCCCCGACCTGGATAGCCCAGTCCAGCCCGATCGATCTCAACAGATCTCAGAAGCTAAGCAGGGTCAGCCCTGGTTAGCACTTGGATGGCAAACCACCAAGGAAGTCCAGGTTTGCTACGCAGAGGCAGGCCATGGCAAAACCACCTCTATCGGTCTTGTCTCCTGCCTTGAAAACCTTACGGAGTCCCTGTTAGCCTGCTGCAACTTGGCAGCGCTTTCCACCAGTGCCTCTGAGGGGGGGTGGGGGTGGCAGGACCATTTGGCCCAGGCCTCACATTCTCAGGGAGGGCCCTCAAATTGACACTTTTGAGGTTAACTCTTAATTTGGTTATAGTTACAGACAGGGCTCTTTTTGTAGAAAAAGCCCAGCAGGAACTCATTAGCATAATAGGCCACACCCAACAGCAGACACTCGTTAGCATATTAGGCCACGCCCTGCCAGCACAGCTCATTAGGACGCACCCCCATGTTACCAGAAGTGTGGTCATCCAGCCACACCCACCTTTTGCTTGTTATTCTGTTTACCTCGTTTGTTGTCAAAACCCAGGGCCTTTTTTTGTAGCAGGGACTCCTTTGCATGTTAGGCCACACACCCCTAATGTAGCCAATCCTAATGAGTTTCTGCTGTTGGGCATGGCCTATTATGCTAATGAGTTCCTGCTGGGCGTGGCCAACTCAGGAGCCATCTGGAACTCCGTTCCTGTGCGTTCCTGCCCAAAAATAGCCCTGTTACAGACACAGAAATACTAGCCTTCCCAACCTCCCATTTTCGGCGGGGGGTTGGGGGGCTCAATGGAAGTGGCCCGGGGCCTCTCTTTACCTCTGTGACTGCCTGCTTTCCACCACCACGCTAATGGTACATGCAGCTGTGCGTTTTGTTGCGCTGTGCCAGCCACAGAAGTAGGCATCACACCGTGATCGTTTCAGGTGAACTGGTTAGTCTTGCAAAGGACTGGGGGGGGGTGTATATTTGGGGTACTTTTTGTTTTTGTTTTTTTACTGAAATGTGTTTATTCTATAGCAAGATAAAAGCATTTGTTTTAGATAAGCAAAATACAAACTTAATTGCTGCTCTCAGAACTCATAAAAAAGTATAAAACAGCATAGAAACACAATTAAGCAATGTCGCAATTGAATCGTTCATGTTACCAGTGTTTACATTAAAGCCTCATTTATGAAAACTTTACAACACATGATATGAAAAACTTACAGCTTTTAAAAAGAAAATATTTACACTGATTATGCAGATGTGGCAATCCTTTTAAATAGTCTACTGGTATTACAGCATATTTCTTTTTTAAAAAAACCTCACATTTTCCCCTTCTCTCCTTTTTTTTTGTAATAACAGGGGTTTTTTTATTTAAGTGCATTTCCTTTTTTAAAAAATACAGTGTATTAAATCTGAAAGTTGTCACCCAAACACAATAGAATATTCACATTTTTTTTTGAAGTGGAATGAGTAGAACAGGTTAAGAATATATTTTATTACAAAGTGTACTGCAGTATCTGGAGAAATCATAGCGAAGATGATAAGATAGGCTTTGACATTTAAAAACTTTCACTTGCATTTCTTCAGAAGACATTTTTTAAAAAGGAAAAAAAAAGGAGCTTTGGCAAAAAAAAAAAGTGTCTGTGATTTATTTATCTTTACATTAGTGTTTTCTTCATGACCGAGAAAAACAGTGTCAATTACTCATGTTCTATGAGCGTGATTGTATGAAATCCAATCGACATTTTACAGGTAGTTACAACTGTGCTTTTTAAAGGGCTTCGTGAGTTCAATTTTTTTATATATAGCTATATATGTAAAAAAGAACCCAACTGGTTTTGAAGTGCATTAACTGATTCTGCAAGAAAGGACAACGATTTATTCGAAATGGTGAAAAGGCCGGCGGTTCCCCCCAACTCGTAATGCCCTGGCAGAACCACGACCATCTGATTCACATCTTGTAGGTAAAGCTTGAAATAAATTAAAAAGGCATCGCATGGAGAGAGAGGAAAAAGAAGAGAGCACAGCGTTTTCGTTTTAGGAAGGGGTGGAGGGGAAGGAGACCAAAAAGAAAGAACCAAGTATTTATAGTCACCTAAAAGATTATACACAGCTACATTGTAGTTCTTTATTGCCTATCTAATAGACAGCATAGGAGGCTCACTCGATCTGTTATGCGTCCGTGCATAACCACCGTTAACGATGTACAAACTGCGCCCGTACACGGTCGAGCCCCGGGCCCAATTCAGGAATGCGGAGCTGCGCAAGGAACGCGCAACTTCAGAAAATGCTGGCCTGCGCTAAGAGCTGGGTTTGTGTCTGGGTTTGTATTTGGGTCTGGTGTGGTTGGGAGGCGGGTGGCGGGCTGCCAATGGCCGGGATTGGGGAAGTGATCTGCGCGGCCGCGGGGGAATGCTGCTGCTGCTGCTGCGGGGAAGGCTGCGAAGGGTGCTGCATGTGCTGCAGCTGCTGTTGCTGCATCTGCTGGAGCTGCAGCTGCTGCAGCTGCTGCTGCATGTGCTGCTGGAGGTGCTGCTGCTGCTGCTGCTGCAAATGCTGCTGCATGTGATGCTGGAAATGCTGCTGCTGCATCTGCTGCTGGATCTGCTGGTGCATCTGCTGCTGGTGCAGCTGCTGCTGCTGCATCTGCTGCTGCTGCATCTGCTGGAGCTGCTGCAGCTGGTGCTGCTGGCTCTGCAAGGACGGGCTCGCCTGCGAGGGCGCCGCGGCCGACGCGCCCACCATGCCGGATCCCATGGAGCTGATCAAGGGGGAGGAAATGTTTTTCGGCAGGTTGGGGGCGATGGTGACGGAGGTGACAATCTGGTTCATGGGGAGCCGCATGGCCAAAGGCTTGGGGGCGATTGCCCGGGGGAGGGACTGCTGCAGAGTCTGGGGGGATGTCGCCACTGTTGCATGCTGGGAAAGAGGAGCGTTCAGGAGGAGAGACGAGGACAGATTGGTGGAGGCCAGCGTCTGTTGGACGGAGCGGATGGTCTGGGCTTCAGCCGACTCGGCAGCAGCCTGCATTGGAGAGACAGAAGACATTGAAGAGCTTCCTCTTTTGCGGTTACTTTGCTTTAAGCATACAATGCATTCTTTCTTTCTTTCATCTATTTATACCCCGCCTTTCTCTCCAATGGGACCCCAAAGCGGCTGACATCATTTTCCTATCCTCTTGTTTATCCTCACAACAACCCTGTGAGGTAGGTTAGGCTGAGAGCATGTGACTGGCCCCAGGTCATCCAGCAAGCTTCCATGGCACAAGTGGGGAATCGAACCTGGGTCTTCCAGATACTAGTCTGACACTCTTAACCACCACACCACAGTACACATCTGTGTACACATGTGTGTGTGCCTATGTTTTTATATAACACACAAATGCAGATGAAGGACTGCCTCCTTGATTCTGTCTAGCCATGAATTAAGACCTTCTTGCTTTACTCTCTGTATCCCCCACCTGCAGAGATAGGTGGCACACAGAGATGGGGCTTTTTAGTGGTGGCTCCTCTGGCCAGTGGTGACCTCATTAAAGGCAGACATTATGTGGTCATCTATGTATTTTGCATAATTGCTGTTTTATTCACATTGTAGGCCACCTTACGCAAAGGAGAAAGGCAGCTAATAAACATTTAAAATAAATGAATGAATGAATGAATGAATGAATGAATGAATGAATGAATGAATATGAGCTCCCTGGCCTGGCCACCTTCTCTTTTTGCTGCCTTCTCAAGGCACACAGACCCTTAAATGGTCTCTGGCAAGTTCGAGGGCAATCTATCCCAACTCTAAACCTGCTATTCCTTCAAGGAGCTCAGGATAGCTGTGACAGACTGCCAAGGGTTAATGCCTAACAAAGTCTGAGAAACTCTGAGCGACAGGCTGTTCAAATGGAATTCTGTGGATTTGTAATTTTGGATTCTCAGGACTTTTGTATACTGTTCTTGCAGTTATTGTACATGTTATAAGTTATACTTGACCTTAATAAACATTTAAAAAATCTTTTTAAAAAATGGAATTCTGTGGAGAGAGACGGTTAAGAAATGACAGTTGGGAAATGACAGTTGAGGAAGACACAGTTAAGCACTGACAAAACTGAGAAGGAGGCAAAAGGAGTGAGAGGATCAGAGAGGATCCCCATTCAAGCTGAAAAGGGAAACTGCTTCTCCTTAAGAGAAGTCATCCCTGCCCAGTGAAAAGGGAGATAGGTCTTAAAAGACGAGTGATCCCTGGTCTGTGTGTATAGAAGGATTTGGGGAGCTTGGTTGAATGTTCCTGCCTTCTAGACTTTAAGAGTCAGTGAAACTCAGAAACCTATGCTTGATTGTTTAAGCAGCAACTGAAAAGAAAGCCTCTCCTCTAAGTTTTAAACAAACTTTTTGAATGCCAGAAGCACTTACTTGTTCGCAGCAAATTATCTAGAGTTACTGTGATTCTACATTCAATAGCTGTGTTGGTCTGAAGCAACAAAACAAAGTTTGAGTCCAGTGGCATCTTTAAGACCAACAAAGATTAATTCTAGATATCAGCTTTCGTGTGCAAGCTTATACCCAGAATTAAACTTTGTTGGCCTTAAAGGTGCCACTGGACTCAAGATTTGTTCCGTGATTACAAAGTTACCTCAGCTTTATTGTCGGTTCACCTCACACATCCTACCCTTGATTACACCTGACCTTTTCTCTAAGTTAAATAAAACATGTTGTTTATTTTGAACTTTCAAAAGCCTCTCGTGTGTCATTTCAGAAGTTGAATATAAGAAGGTGATTTTGTCACTTCCCTCAGTTCCCTGGGCTGGGGCTGGGCCAGCATCAATGTCTGTCTGTCTGTCTAAAGCAACTGGGTGGGACAGCTATAGACAAACAAAAAGAAAAGGAAATAGATATTGGGGCTGCTCAGCAAGAAAGAAGAAGAAAAAAAAGAAGAAAAGGAAAAATCCTGCATGTGAAAAAGGAAATAGGGCAATCCTAGGTTTTCAAATGAACTGTATGTAAAATAACCCATGGTTTTGTGTGATGTCTAAACTGAGACACTGCACAAAAAGGTCTGAGTGCCTACATCTGAATGATCATGATGCTGTCCAAGGACGCCCAATATCATTTACCAATATGCAAAGATTTGAACTTTAAACATGAACCACCTGTCCATGTTTAAGACTCAATGTGCCTCTTCCAGCACGATTTCGAGCCATCTCTCACCTAAGACCTCTCGCCTCTGACTTCATGAAAGTTCATTTCCTTGCTGGTTTTAATCCCTTCTTCATTGTTTCCTTGTGTTTTACATCTGGGTTAAAATGTGTTTTTATGGCTCATGAGTAACTTCCAGTAACTTGTGCACAGATATTTGAACTGGGTAGTTTTGGATTCTTCATAACACAGCAACCATTGGCAGGGTGAGAGCTCTTTTACGTAACTCTGACTTAAAAAAAAAAAAAAACCCTTGAAGAAGAGGCCTACTAAAACATTCGGCATGGCTTCTTGCCATCTTTCCCATTCACAGGAACTTCTCACTTCTGCACCACCACCACCCACCATGATGTTCCTTTCAGCAGCAACATGTTCTTTGGTGTCACCGTATAATACACTCTTCTGCTCATACAAGGGGCAGCTAAGCTTCTCAAGACCAAGTACCACATTCTCAACACTGTCATGCAGCCTTGTGATGGGACGCCATCCCTCTACCATCGTGCGTCTTCAGAATGCAGCGGTGCGAGTCCTGTAGGGAACGTCACGGACAGCACATATACAACCTGTGCTGTGCCAGCTACACTGGTTACTGGTGGAGCACCGAGTCAGGTTCAAGGTATTAGTGTTGACTTCTAAGGCCTTGAGCGGGCAGGGACCCAAGTACCTTCAGGACTGCTTCCTCCAATATGTCCCCAGAAGAGCACTGAGATCAGCTAATAACAACTTACTGGTGATCCCTGGCCCTAGGGAGGTCCGGCTGTCCTCGACCACAGACAGGGCCTTTTCAGCCCTGGCACCTATGGACACAGGGTGGTGGTGGGTGCAGTCACAAAATGGCTGTTGGAAGAGCTTACCTTCAGTCACACAGTGGTGGCAGCTGCTGCCAAAGAAATCCCAGAGCAGGAGGCAACATCAGGAAAAGGCCTTGGCAGCTATGCCCTGTTAATCGCCATCCAGAGGAACTGGTTGGCTACTGTTTAAAACAGGATGCTGGACTGGATTAGGCTTGCCAAGTCCCCCCGGGCGGTGGGGAAACCCCCACCCCAGAGGCCCGTTCCCTGCCGCTGGCGGATCGGGCCCCGGGGGAACCCCACCCCGACGTGCACGTCACCCGGAAGTGACGCGACCACACCGGGCATGCTGGGGGCGGGGCCACGGTCATCCGAGGGAAAACTATGGTTTTCCCTCGGATGGTTGTGGCCCCGCCCCCAGCGTGCCCGCCGTCATCACGTCACTTCCTGGTGACGTGCGTGTGGCTCCAGATGTGGCTCCAGACGCGCGCTGCAGACGCCGGCTGGGAGTCCCCCGCTCCGGAGAAATTTACACTTGGCAACCCTAGACTGGATGGACCACTGAACATGCACGGTTCCAACACTTGGGACTTCCCAGCTTGTGGCAACGTATTTGCCATGAGCAAAAACCACCAGATTTGTCTGCTGCTACAACCATCTGTGTTGTGACCTGCATGTTAAAACTTTTGCTTGTGATGACTGAATCTTAGACACGTGTGAGACACTTGCTGAATCTAGCAGTTATGTGAAATGGTATGTACTGCGCTCCTTAAAATACGATATGTGTTCGTGGTTTGCCGAAAATTCGGCTTGTGCTTATATCCTAGCATGGCTTGAGAATCCTGGATCCTCCTGAAATGCATTCGCATTTCTCTCCTTTACCTTGATACTTTTTGCAGAATTTGCTACAAATATTCCCAAGGGGGAAAGAGGTTATCTATTGATGTATCTCATTTTTTCCCCTAATTATCAGTTCTTATTTATTCTATAACGCGAGCAGTTGCTTAAAAATTAATCGAGCAAACGCAGTAAAGTTACTAGCTGATATGGAGCATTCATGAAAAACTCTGGCACGGACCTTCAAACACACAAGTAGCTGAAGATGAGATGTTTTGATAGTGGATGAAACAAAATAAAGATCCTATGCTTATTTATTTTTAATAAGGCAACAAGATCTCCACTTAAACACCGGCTTCTGTGCATTCGATTAAAGTCCGCGTCGGGCTTACCTTGGAAACGAGACTTGCTCTGTAGGCTGCGAGCGCCTTAAGGTATTCTTTCTTGGCTGCTTCAGTTTTCCTTTTATACACCTGTTAAAGACACTACAATTAACATCACCTTCATTGTATAAACTTCACACCATAAAATAGCTCTTGCCTGAAGAGGGATGTTACGGCCTCATAAAAAGCAGAAAGTCAAAAGGGACAAATGGCAACTTGGATTCCTCAAAGAAAATATCCAGCATTACGTGATCTCCCTCTCTGTTAAAAGGCTCAAACCAAAAACGAAGTTCTCACTGAGAGAGTCTGCACATAGCTCCGGGTGATAGGGGTCAAACATTTAGTTAAATTTAGGGGAAATGGGGGTACCGAAAAGGGAAGGGAAAAAAGGGGTTATACAACATAATTGCATTTGTCAAAGACAATCATGTAGTATAAAATGTATAGGACAGGGAATATTTTCATCCACTTCATTGTCATTTTTAAGGTATTATCTATATAATACAATAGTCCTTTTTCTGTTGGGGTACAATTGTGTTAATCACTTAAGTTTTAATTTTCAAACTTCATAAATAATCTATTTTGACTACAAACACTGGTTTCATCATTACTATGTATTCAATATAACATATTTTTGCCACTTCTACATATTCACTAGAACCTTTGATATGTAGTATATCATGGTGTAAAAGAAAAACTGTCAAATATCTCACATTGAGAACCCATTTGTATTCAAGATATTACATTTGGAACAGATTTTAACTCTACTTCTGTTTCATTACCATACATTTGTATATGATATTTTCTCACTTTAAGTTTGACTCCTGCTAGCATAATGCAAACATTTGTTAATGCGCCTACCGGCTCAACAGTACTCTGATTTCTACTCTGCGCTCAGCACCTAAATCAGTCAGAGGCAAAGGAAGAGGATTCTCAGTCTACACCTAAGCCAGGCTGAGCTTTGCTGATGATTGCCTTGGCCGAGAGCCCCCGCAAGCTTGGAGGTGACATTTCTAAGTCATAGCCAATCAGATTGCAGGTGGAGCCTCATGTGACGGAAAGACTTTCCATACCCACACCCACCCATCCAAAAAGGGAACTGGTGGTGAAAAGTCAAGTAGCAGCTGACTTATGGTGACCCCGTAGGGTTTTCAAGGAAAGAGACGTTCAGAGGTGGTCTGCCCTTGCCTGCCTCTGCGTAGCAACCCTGGACTTCCTTGGTGGTCTCCTATCCAAGTCACCAAGGTCAGCCCTGTTTAGCTTCTGAGATCTAATGGGATCAGGATAGCCTGGGTCACCCAGGTCCAGTGTTCCCTCTAAGCTGAGTTAGTGTGAGCTAGCTCACAGGTTTTTTTAGCCTCCGGCTCACACATTTTTGTCTTAGCCCAGGAAGGAGGGCTCCAGAGCAAACTAATGTATGCAGTGGCCAAATCGCTCGCTCACAACTTTAATGCCAGTCGCTCGCAAAGTAGAATTTTTGGCTCAGAAGACTCCACAGCTTAGAGGGACCATTGCCCAGGTCATGGCAAAATGGAGAACCAGACGTTACAAAACACGGTTCTAGCCCAAACCGCCTTCTAATGTTCAAAGGTAGAATAACTGCTTGACGTATACAAAGTCTCATTCTTCATCCCTGGCATCTCAGGTGGCAGGTGCTGGGAAGAGATCTTTCTTGGAGACCCTGGAGAGCTGCTGCCAGTCAGAGCAGGCGGGGCGGAGCTTCATACTGTTTTCTGTGCATATTTTATCCAGGGGATAGCATTGAAGAAGGAGATTTACACCCCACCCTTCACTACCCAAGGGAGTCTCAGAGCGGCTCACAAACTCCTTTCCCTTCCCCCTCCCCACAACAGACACCCTGTGAGGTAGGTGGGGCCGAGAGAGCTCTTGACAGAAACTGCTCTTTTTTCAAGAACAGCTCTTATCAGAACTATGGCTTGCCCAAGGTCATCCAGCAGCTGCAAGTGGAGGAGTGGAGAGTCAAACCTGGTTCTCCCAGATTAGAGTTCATGCGCTTAACCACTACACCAAACTGGCAGGCCATTCTATCATGTAACACCCTCACACACACACACACACACACACACACACACACCTGCAGACTGAAATGGTAGAAGCCAGATACAGGTTAACCACTTCATCTAGAAGGAGATCTCAGTTACTTCCAAGGATGTCCAAATATCAGCTAGCCCAAGCTCACACAACCAGTTGCGTCCATATGGGAAACCAGATACTAACTGTGCTCAGAGCCTGACCCTACAGCATGTTTAACAGCTAGTAAAATATAAGGATATGCCTCAAGTGTAATGTACAGACATTTCTGTAGTCAACTTGCAATGCAATCCTGAACAGAGTTACTCCCTACTAACCCCAAGCATGTAACTGCTAAGGGTGGCACTGTTGGTTTGAATGTGGGTCCAAAAACCAAATAGGGAAGGTATAGGCAGCCTTCAACTGATGCTATGCTACTCCGACTCTTTTTACCTGGGCCTTGTATCCCAAAATTCCTACTGCAGCAATGTTCACACTGCAGTGCAAGGCAAAAATGGAATAGTGAAGGTATGTCCCTCCAAGAGCGTTATGCCCTACATGGTCTGGGGCCTGCCTACCTGAGGGACCACCTTTTCCTGTATGTTCCCCAGAGAGCACTGAGATCAGGGACTCAACACCGTCTGGCCCTCCCTGGACCGAAAGACGCCAGACTGGCCTCTACCGGGGCCAGGGCCTTTTCAGTAGCAGCTCCACACTGGTGGAATGAGCTCCCGGAAGACATCAGGGCCCTGCGGGACAGGTCCGCAGGGCCAGCGAAACGGAGCTCTTCCACCAGGCCTTCGATTAGGAGCCACTACCAACAACAACTGAACTGTGATAAGGCCCTCTGTGTCAACATCAACAGCCTGTGATGTCAACAGCAAGAGCCTTTGGCCATATTATTTTGTTACCATCGTCTCATGGCCTATTGGGATCAGTATGCAATGGTTACTGCCACCAGCACTTTCTCTGTTATTTGTTATCTGTTATGTATATGAGTTTTATGATGGTGCATTGTGCTTCATGCGTTTGTGTTTTAAGGCATTTTAACTGCTTTAATGTAAGCGGCCCTGAGCCTGCCTCGGCAGGAAGGGTGGGATACAAATAGAATTAAATAAATAAATAAATAAAATAATCAAACTCTGCTGGTGGTTCCCCAGCCCAAAGAGCATCTGGCTGTTCTTTTTGGCTCTGGATTCCAGCCTGGTAGAATACTCCCCCAGAAGAGAGCACGGCCCTGCGGGACCTTGTACAGTTCCACAGGGCCGGTAAAACAGAGTTGTTCTGCTGGGCTTAGGGTAGGGGGTAGTGACAGGCGTCCTTCTCATAGGTTCATCTAGAATTGGCCTTCCCCTCCTCCTCCCCCTCCTCCCCCCTCTTCCTTCACTTCTCCCCTTTTCCTTCTTATCAGATGATTATATACTACCCCTCCGTGTGAGTTTACACCGCTTGCGGGGAGGGCGGGGTAAAAATGCCTAAATAAATAAAATAAATAAATAAATAATCTTTTAGTTGAATAGTAGTTGTATTTGATTGATTTTTATTATATTCATAGTGATTATTTGTCAGTATATTTATTGTAATGATTATAATGTTTTAGACTGTATGATTCATACATGTTGTTACCCGCTCTGAGCCGGTTTCGGGGAGAGCGGGTTATAAATTTAATTAATTATATCAATAAAATATTTGAGCACCATAGCTGAGTCTACAGAGGCAACCACAAGCTAAAAGCTTGTCTGCGTAAGAGTGGTGGATCAGATGGGCTACCGGCCCGATCCAGCAGGGCTCTTCTTATGTTCTTATGTGGCCGATCACACTCAATGTAGCCCAGTTTTGATGTATGATGAACGGCCAGGTTTGCGATTCTCCTCCACAGAAAGGAAGCGCCATGCCAAAAGGCTGATTTGTGTGCCTGGTCAGCCATGATACATCGGTGGCGTGCTGTGTTCAACTGCAGGGCACACATACATATGAAGCTGACTTATACTGAATCCACCACTGGTCCATCAAGATCCGTATTGTCTACTCAGACTAGCAGCAGCTCTCGAGGGTCTCAAGCTGAGGTCTTTCCCACCACCTACTACCCGATCCTTTTAACAGGAGATTATGAGGGTTGAACCTGGAACCTTCTGCATGCTGAGGAGGAGGAGGCGAAGAGGAGGAGATTTTTTATTTATTTTTTATTTATCCTTCGACTTACTACCCCGCTCGAACCCCCTGGGGGGGTCTCTGAGCAGCTACAGTTACTCACTTATCCCTAACCTATGGCCACACATGTACTAGGGATGGGGACTACCCTACCAGCACCCTGTGGAGGACTTTCCTGCAGGTCTTCTTCCTCTGCGTCGGCTTGTCGGCTTTGGCTTTTTTTCCCAGGCTTCCGGTTCTCGTCGCGGTCCTCCGGTAGCGGGTCAGCAAGCCCCTCTGGCGCACAGCACGCTTCGGCGCAGCTCCGGCTCCGTCCTTCTCGGCTCCGCCGCGCCTGCGCTCTCCACGGCCATCACGTCTCCTGGCTCCGCCTTTCTGCTGTATCCAGACCGCTGAAGATGTTGCACTCGGTCGCCATCTTGCTGAACGCCGTCCTGCCGCTTCACCGCTCGCCAGCACCAACGCCACTCCATGACCCCCTCGATGGGGGAGGGTGCCCCCTACCCTCTAAGGTAGGTACCAAATTTATCTACTCGCATATTAGATGTTAAGTCATGCTTTCGAACCGCTGAGATTGGATTTATACCCCGTTCTTCACTACCTGAAGGAGTCTCAGAGCAGCTTACACTCTCCTTTCCCTTCCCCTCCCCACAACAGACACCCTGTGAGGTAGGAGGGGCTGAGAGAGCTCTCCCGAGAACTGCCCTCAAGAGAACAGCTCTGAAAGAACTTGTGACTGGCCCAAGGTCACGCCAGCAGCTGCATGTGGAGGAGTGGGGAATCAAAGCCAGTTCTCCCAGATTAGAGTCCGGGCTCCTAACCACGACACCAAACCGTGCTCCACCACTGAGCCACATCTCCTCCCAACTCCCTGATTACAGAAGCTGGGATCTTAAATATGTTTAAGGAAGGAAAGCTAAGACCATGCATCTTCAAGCCAAGTGAATTACTGTAGGTGATATTAGAAGACCATGGCGTGAGCTCCTCCTTCCTCCTTATCATTGTGTTTATTTCCTCCTCAGACTATAAACCTAATGCCTAAAGAAATGGGCAAAGTCTTTTATGTTTCTGATATGGCAGCTGATTAAGGGCCTTGTCTAGGCTTGCCAAGTCCCCCCGGGGGGCGGGGAAACCCCCGCCACAGAGGCCTGTTCCCCGCCGCCGGCGGATCGGGCCCCAGGGGGAACCCCACCCCGACGTGCGCGTCACCAGGAAGTGACATTAGGACACCAGGCACGCTGAGGGCGGGGCCACGACCATCGGAGAGAAAATTCTATGGTTTTCCCTCCGATGGTCGTGGCCCCGCCCCCAGCGTCCTAACGTCACTTCCTGGTGATGTGCGTGCGGCACGCGCGAGCTCCAGTTGCCGCCCGGGAGTCCCCCGCTGCGGCGAAGAAACAACTTGGCAACCCTAGCCTTGTCTGTTTGGCCATCTATTTTTGTTTGACTTGTGTAAATTGTTATAGAATAACTGCAATCTGAAGACAACCAGGAGCTGATCCAGAGGCTGGTTCTCAGGAAGAAGACAGACGGCATCGCTGCGGTCCCAAACCCATGTCACATTCCTAATTAACAAGGTTGGAAGGATCATGCCGCTGGTGTTTAATTAGACGGACCGTAATCGTTGGCATTGTTCCATTCATCACTCCGTTGTCTTGGTCGCGCGCCCCCACCCTCCCCATCTTCCCCAAGGTCCCTTGATTACCTGCTTCTGCTCTTCTCCTAAGCTGTCCCACATCGAGGCAACGATTTTTGAAACCTCTCCAAAGGTAGCGTTGGGATTCTGCCCTTTAATTGCTGCTTGTGTGTCCCTGAAGAACAGGGCATATGCTGACACCGGCTTCTGGGGTTCGTTGGGGTCTTTCTTTTTCTTCTTCTTTGGAGTCTTGGGCTTCTTGCCAGAATCCGGGGCGGCTCTCTTCTCCCCAGTAGTCTAATAAAGAGCAGACGACAAACAAAACTAGCGTTCATCTTCAGCATGAAATGTTAGTCATGGAAATGAGCTCTGCGTCACCCGAGACTTTTTGTAGTCTGTTAACACACACACACACACACGTGACCTCTATGGTCTATGCCAAGATAACCCAAATTAGAGGAAGAAAAAATGAGAACTGTGCTCGACAAAATTAGTCGGCCATCTTGCCACCAATTTAGAGTCCAGTGGCACCTTTAAGACCAACAAGGGTTTATTCAAGGTATGAGCTTTCATGTGCAAGGCACACTTTTTCAAATATCTTGGAATGGTGTGTAAGGTTCAGACTTATAGAAAGGGACTTAACATGTAACAAGATGATGTTTAAGCTAAGAAAAGTCAGAACTAAATAACAAGGTGAGGTTATAAGGTCAACAGCTGTGAAGCAATAAACGTGTCAAAAGAGCAGATAAATGTCTAAAAGTGTATTTTCTAGTTGTGGGGAACAAACCCAGAACGTTCCAGGCATGGAGATTACTTAACAGCACCTCATAAAGTGCTATTTTGCACATGAAAGTGCATACGTTGAACACCTGGGGTAAGTGATACTCTGTATTCTTGGTGCTTGGGGGGGCAGTGGGAGGGCTTCTAGTGTCCTGGCCCCACTGGTGGACCTCCTGATGGCACCTGGTCTTTTGGGCCACTGTGTGACACAGAATGTTGGACTGGATGGGCCATTGGCCTGATCCAACATTGGCTTCTCTTATGTTCTTATGTCTAGGACAATGATGCTCTGTATTTTTGGTACTTGGAGGGGCAGCAGTGGGAGAGCTTCCAGTGTCCTGGCTCCACTGGTGGACCTCCTGATGGCACCTGGTCTTTTGGGCCACTGTGTGACACAGAATGTTGGACTGGATGGGCCATTGGCCTGATCCAACATTGGCTTCTCTTATGTTCTTAAGACTCTAAATTTGTTCTACTGCTTCAGACCAACACGGCTGACCACCTGGATCTATCTTACTACCAAGTGGAAATGATTGTGGTGGTAGCTCCCAATTCCATAGGCAAGCTGGATACCAAGGATGCAGTTCTCAAGACACTCGCACAGAATGGCCTCACAAAATGAGCCGAAGCCCTTGATAGCCACAGAGGCTAGTCACCAATGAGCTATGAATCTTCTCAGAAGCCATTGCTACCTCTTGGAAGATGATGTTGCAAAATAGCTGTCATGGGCAGTGCTCCAGGAGGCCACTGGTTCACACTGCACATCCATCACAAACTCACCAAGCCAGCTGCTGTCATCCTCAGCCGGGCCCCCACTCCACAGTATGTATACATACCCACCGACCTCCCACACAGGCTCCTGCAGATGCCACAGGGGAGTCCAGAAGAACAGCCCTCTGTCCACAGTTCTCCCCTGCTGACTGCTCCCCAAGCATGTGACCATCTAAAGCATTCTGCCCCAGAACCTGAAGTTTCCACTTGGCTACCAGGGCTAACAGCCAGCGATAGACTTATCCTCCATAAATCTGTTCAACCACCTTCTCATCTCAGTCTGTGGCCAGCCCATTGAACCCATTTCCTCCATTTGGCCCTCATTTTGCACTTTTCCAAACCCCACAGATAGCAGAGCCTACGTTTAAGGTTCTCACCATTTCCATAGCATAAGAACGTGAGAAGAGCCCTGCTGGATCAGGCCAGTGGTCCATCTAGTCCAGCATCCTGTCTCACACAGTGGCCAACCAGTTCCCCTGGAGGGCCGACAACAGGGCACAGAGGCTGAGGCCTTCCCCTTATGTTGCCTTCTAGCTCTGGGATTCAGAGGATTAGTGCCTCTGAATGTGGAGGATTCCCTTAGTCACCATGGCTAGTAGAATAATCCGTCTATAAAAAATTTAGACAAATAAGATACTCTACAGTAAAAGGAAGTGGAAAGGACTCCACATCCTCCCAACCTCTTATTAAGGTTTCTTACTATGGCTCAGTTCCTTTTCCAGGTGACAGAACAACCAATAGAGACATTATTCAGTCACTACCGAGATTCTCTTGGTAGATGTCTTATATCGCTTGTAGGCCTAATCTGGCGAAAAGGGCATTTGATGGATCTATGTTATTAATTCCGGGCCTCAGACATAACTGTCATAGTCCTCCCTGGAATTTGTTGACCTGTACAACCAATCTTTTTATTTAGACTCCCTGTGATCTTCTCTAACCCTCAGGCTCAATGCTAACTACGGGAAGGCTAAAAAAAACCCCAAAGAACCCTGCCAACTGTGCTAGATATAAATCCGGCCACTAGACCCCGTTTATTTGTTTACATCCATACACACTATCATTATTCAGACGATCTTCCTCAGGCAGACGTCTTTTCTCTTTATGGCCATTTAATCCCAGACGAAAATGAATCTCAGAGACTTTCATAAGGAGGTAAAGGTCGCTTTTTACACTCATCCAACTGTAAAAAGGTAAAGGTTCCCTTGCTCGAAAGCCAGTCGAATCCGACTCTAGGGTTGCGGTGCTCATCTCCGTTTCAAAGCTGAAGAGCCAGCGCTGTCCGAAGACGTTTCCGTGGTCATGTGGCCAGCATGACTAAACACCAAGGCGCGCGGAACGCTGTTACCTTCCCACCTAAGTGGTACCTATTTATCTACTTGCAATTTCTTGCTTTCGAACAGCTAGGTTGGCAGGAGCTGGAACTAGAGACGGGAGCTCACTCCATCATGCGGCACCCGGGTCTCGAACTGCTGAACTACCGACCTTTCACAGCCTGCAGTTCAGCGTCTTAACCACTTGAGCCACCGCAGCAGTTTTAAGATACCAAATGTACAGGTATCTTAAAACACGCACACATTATACGCATACAGACAGACATGCATACTGATCTGCCAGCGAGGAACGCTGAATTGTCAGAGGCCTCGGAAGCAGACATGACAAAAAGGAATTATTGCATCTATGAAAGTTGTCATAAAGAACCTTGTACAAGCGACGGCTCCCTTTTAAAGAGCCACAGAATAGCAGCGGCGCGTCTTTACAATAAGGAAATCTCATACCACTAGATAAAGATGCTCTTTCACGGCCATCAAGTACCGGCCTATTAAAAAACATATTGACTCTGGCAGTACCAAAGCAACAACAATACTTAGCATCTGCGTAGCCCTTTCTAAGTATTCAAAGCACTTCAAACACGAAGCTAAATGTAAGCTAAATATGAGCGGTCTGACGCAGAGGCAAAAAAGGCTAATTCTTTAGGTGTGTCGACGAGAGGCATAACATCCAAACTTCAAGATGTCATAGCCCTGCTGCACACCACATTGGTCAGGCCGCACCAGGAGTATTGTGTGCAGTTCTGGAGGCCTCACGTCAAAAGGGCTGTAGACAGAATGGAGAGGGGGCGGAACAGAGCAATGAGGATGATCGGGGGCCTGGAGACCAAGCCCTCTGAGGAAATGCTGAGGGACTTGGGGATGCTCAGTCTGGAGAAGATGAGGTTGAGGGGGGACAGGATGACTCTCTTGAAGGCTTTAAAGGGCTGTCACTCAGAGGAGGGCAGGGAGCTGTTCCTGTTGGCAGCAGAGGAGAGGACCCTCAATAATGGGTTTAAATTAAGGGCAGAAAAGTACCGCCTTGATATTAGGAATTTCTTTTAATAGTAAGAGTAGTTCAGTAGTGGAATCAGCTGCCTAGGGAGGTGGTGAGCGCCTCCTTACTAGCAGTCTTCAAGAAGTGGCTGGATGAACCCTTGTCAAGGATGCTCTAGGTCAGTGATGGCAAACCTTTTAGAGACCAAGTGCCCAAACTGCGACCCAAAACCCACTTATTGACCGCAAAGTGCCAACACAGCAATTTAACCTGAATACGGAGGTTTTACTTTAGAAAAAACAACTCATACATTAACTTAAGATGATCCAAACAAAGTAAGGAAAGCAATCCCAAATGCTTTCATTTACTTAAAATTATTTGGCAGAGAATTTGACACTTTAGTGCTGGTCTGGGCCTGGCTGTGGCGATGGCACGTGTGCCCACAGAGAGGGCTCTGAGTGCCACCTCTGGCACCCGTGCCATAGGTTCGCCACCACTGCTCTAGGCTGATCCTGCATTGAGCAGGGGGTTGGACTGGATGGCCTGCAGGGCCCCTTCCAAGTCTATGTTTCTATGATATATAGTCTCCTGTTGAAATCCATACACTTCACAAAGTTCATTAATATCAGATCTAGGAGGCACGATTAGGAGAAGAGAAGAGATTGGATTTATATCCCGCCCTTCACTACCCAAAGGCATCTCTGAGCGGTTTACAATCTCCTTTCCCTTCCCCTCCCCACAAAAGACACCCTGTGAGATAGGTGGGACTGAGAGAGCTCTTTCGAGAGCTGCTCTTTCCAGGACAGCTCTGAGAGAACTGTGACTGACCCAAGGTCACACCAGCAGCTGCATGTGGTGGAGGAGACTCAAACCCGGTCCATGCTCCTAACCACTACGCCAAACTGGCTCTCTTTAGTTCACAGAAGGAAAAGCAAAATAAAACCTGATCCTTAGGGAAAACTGGGCATACAATCATTGGGTTGGATCTAAGGGTACCTTTTCAGTGAAGGTCAGAAGAACATACAAGACAGTGGGAGTTTCATGTCTGGCGCTCCCAGCATTTTTTTTTTTTTAACCCGGAATTCTTAGGTGTATAGAAGCCCAATTCGAACTGAAACTACAGCTGTGCAGGGGGAGGGGGAGACCCTTAACTCTGTGCCATTTTTCCCTGATCTAAAATGTTCCCAAAGATTCCATTACTTACCCCGTTGAAGAAGCATATGAGTACAGATATGGGTACCAGTGTTCCCTCTAAGATGAGTTAGTGTGAGCTAGCTCGCAATTTTTTAGCCTCCGGATCACACATTTTTGTCTTAGCTCAGGAAGGATGGCTCCAGTGCAAACTAATTTATGCAGTAGCCAAATCATCTGCTCATAACTTTAATGCCAGTAGCTCACAAAGTAGAATTTTTGCTCACAGGACTCCACATCTTAGAGGGAACATTGATCACTCATACATTTGCCCCAATGCTGCGAAGAGCAGTTCCCTGAGGCTATATTAGATGTGGGAAGTGGTGCTGGGAGAAGTCTTACCTTCCTTGGTCCCAGAACTAGCCCGACATGCCCAAACAGAGAGCTCTAGACACAGAACTGACAGTCTCATATAGTTTGGCCCCAAGTTTCCCTTTCATTTGGGAGGAGAGTCTTCTCCACTGACAGTGAAAGACTTCTTCCTCCACTGAAGGAAGTTTGTCAGAGAAAGACCCAGAAGGAGAGATTGGATGACATGAAGCTACCTTCTACTGGTTCAGAGCATTGGTCTATTGAGGTCAGTCTTGTTTACTCCGACTGGCAGCAGCTCTCCAGGGTCTCAGGTAGGTATCTTCCTCATCACATGACCACCAATCCATGGCCCCATCCCTTTGTGAAAGTCATTAGGTTGTATCTTACGGATGGTCCACTGGTAGAGCCTTTCCATACCTGCCCCTTTCTCCACTAGCCTACTGTGGCTCATGAAAAGGCAATCATTGGATGTTGGAGGTCCCTCACAGATGAAAATCCATGCAAGAGGATTATTCACCGTCAACAATAAATTCTGTCAGATCTTATCCCCATATTGTGGGAGGGCCGAAGTGGAAGCCACCTAGTGAGATTCTGGCAAAGTCAACATTCAAACCAGAGACTACCTGATTTGTTAGATTTGAGTCCAGTAGCGCCTTAGAAACCAACCGGATCTTTGGGGTATAGGCTTTTGAGAGGCAAAGCTCCCTCAAGAACATAAGAGAAGCCAATGTTGGGTCAGGCCAATGGCCCATCCAGTCCAACACTCTGTCACACAGTGGCCAAAAATACCAGGTGCCATCAGGGGGTCCAGCAGTGGGGCCAGGACACTAGAAGCCCTCCCACTGTTGACCCCCCCAAGCACCAAGAAGACAGAGCATCATTGTCCTAGACATAAGAATATAAGAGAAGCCAATGTTGGATCAGGCCAATGGCCCATCCAGTCCAACACTCTGTCACACAGTGGCCAAAAATACCAGGTGCCATCAGGGGGTCCAGCAGTGGGGCCAGGACACTAGAAGCCCTCCCACTGTTGCCCCTCACCAAGCACCAAGAAAACAGAGCATCAATTGCCCCAGACTGAGAGTTCCTATCTATACCTTGTGGCTAATAGCCACTGATGGACCTCTGTTCCACATGTTTATGCTTTGTCAAGAGCTTTCACTCTCAACAGTTCATACCCCCAAAATCCTTTGTTTTTGTTTTTTAAAAATTGGGGGGTGAGTATTTGTGTGTGTATGTATGTATGTGTATGTGCTTGTGAGCCTGGAAGTCATGGTTGACTTCTGGCGACCCCTGGGGGCTTGGACTTTTCAAAGAGGTGGCTTGATAACCTGCCTCTGTGTCCCAGCCCTGGTTTTCGTTGGAGGTCTCCCATCCAAAAACTTGCCAGGGTTGGACCTGCTTAGCTTCCGAGATTGGGCTTGCCTGGGCTTATCCAGGCCAGGGCATACGCCGGAAATCTTGTTCTCCAATCTAGCTCTTCTATTGGAGACCAGTACAGCTACCCTCTGAAACGACTTGATTTGCGACTCAGTCCTTATACTGTACCACCTTCTCCCAGTGCGTGCTAGCCACTTACCCTGTTTGAGTCATCTGCGTCTTCTTCGTTGATCGAACTCGACGGGGAGGGCGTTGCTGACTTGCTAGCGGGAGGGGACGGAGAAGTGTGCGGTAAGTTGGCCCCGCCTAAATTCAGCCCCAGTTGGGCACTGAGTTGGGATTGGTTGATGGTGGTCAGCTGGTTAGGAGGCATGATTCCTGAACGAGCGGCGTCTGTCATATGGACAATAGATCTCATAATCAAGGAGTGGTCCTGGCGGTACTGAGACCCGTCCGTGTGACTGTGATCCTGAAGAGCAAAGGAAAGAAACAGAGGAAAGAAACGGTTAAGGCAACAGGCTTAGCAGCCAACGTTGCAGACTTCATGGAGTCGTCCAAAGGAAGAGAGACGGGGAGTTGCTATGGGGATCTGCCTCATTTCTCAAACGTGACCGAATAGTCTGGAGTGGATATCCAGGGATTCTTTCTTCCCAGAAACTTTAAAAAAGTATTTGCTTACTGATTAATTTAAAACATTTATAAGCTGCCTTTCTTCCTTCTTGAGTTCAAGGAGGGTTACAACAGAGATAAAAGACATAAAAAATAAAAAATGTAAAAAGACGTAAAACTGACATTTAAAACGACAAGTCAGGGCTGCTCGTAAACATAACCAATGTGGTCCTAAATAAAAACCATCTTCAACTGCCTCCTGAAGATTGAGAGCAGGGGTCATTTCGTGGAAAAAGAGGTGCAGGAGCTCATTAGCACAGCTCATTAGTATAATTTATTTGCATATGCCACACCCCCTGCTGTTACCGGAAGTATGTCAGAAGGCAACACCCACCGCTCAGGCTCCACTGGACTGTTTTGGATTGCTAGCTATTGGGGGGGGGGGGAATGTGCAGATCTGTCCTCACAGAGGAGGGAGAGCTTATACCTGAATAAAATTTGGTCTTAAAGGTGCCACTGGACTGTTTTGGACTGGGGGGGGGCTCTGCAACTTACCTGGCTGCTTCTTGCTCTGACTGGGGGCTGCTGGGAGCAGGGGGTGGGGCTTGTTGCATGTGCCCGCCCCCTGGGCTCTTTACTGCTGGAGCTCTGCTCCTGTGCGCTCCCGCAGGAAATGACCCCTGATTGAAAGTGAGGCACACCTTCCCAGGAAGGTTGTTCCATAATCGTGGGGCTGCCACCGAAAAGGCCCTCTCTCGTGTACCCATCATGGTTGAAGGGACAGTCAGGAGGGCCCCTCCCTGTGATCTTAATTCATATGGACGGAGACGGCAAAACACGAAACGGCCAGCATCAGTAGCTACACTGGTGTTTGCGGTAATAGACATATTTATTGTATTTTAATTAAGATAATTATTTCTAATGTTAGTTGCTGTAGATTTTTCTGGTTGCATGGCCATGGTCTTGGCATTGTAGACCACGGCCACACAACCCGGAAAATCTACAGCAGCTGATGAACACCGGTCGTGAAAACCTTCGACAACATATTTCTAATGTGTTTATCAGCTTAACATCCCTCTCCCTCCAGGGGGAGACCGGTCTTGAATACCGGTGTTTATGCTTAAAACATTCAGGCCATCTTTAAAGGAGAGGAAACGACCCCTGGATTCTCACGCGGTGGGGATCACATCAGGATGGACAAATGGGCTTTGCGTTTCAGCGTGTGAAACAATCATATCCTTTCCCATTAACCTTCGGCACAACCTGTCAGGGAAAAGGTAACTGCGGAACCAGGTGTACTTTGGGTTTGCCCTGTCCATCAATGACTTGGACACTGGATTTAGTGGAAGAATTTGCTCCGGCAAACCAACACTGCATTTGTTATCTTATTTATCATTTTATTTATGTATTTACTTACTTACTTGATACCCAATCCTTCTCCCCAATGGAGACTCAAAGCAGCTTACAACGTCATTCTATTCTCCTCCATTTTATCCTCCCTACAACCTGATGAGTTAGGTTAGGCTGGGAGAAAGTGACTGGCCCAAGGTCACCCAGCGAGCTTCCATGGCAGCGTGGGGATTTGAACTTGCACTCTCAGATCACAGCCCAACACTCTAACCACTACACATGGCTCTCCCTTCTACCAACAGTTTGGCTGACAGCCTGGCTGGAGGGCGACCGATACAGCTATCTCCCCAGCCAAGAACAGCAAGAAATATTTACCGGCTATGCTCAGGTTCTGATAGGTGTTATTCTCCCCCCCCCCCCGAGTTCTACTGAGTTGCGGATCAGAAACCAGAAAGAAAAATCGAATTCGATCAAGATCTCGTCATGTACCAATGTGAAAGAGAATTGTTATAAAATGATGTACAGGTGGTATATGACACTCAAGAAAATAGCCAACATGAACCAAAACTTTTCTAACAAATGTTGGAAATGTAGAAAACATGAAGGTTCATTTTAATCATATGTGGTGGACATGTGAAAAAGCTGTGGACTTTTGGACTAGAGTTCACAGCGAAATGCAAAAAATTTTGAAATGTTCCTTTAAAAAAGCACCAGAAATTCTGCTCTTAGGACTTAAAATGGAAGAATTGAATATTACAAAAAGAACTTTATTTTGGTACCTGATTACAACGGCGAGAATACTCTATGCACAATGTTGGAAACAAGAAAGAATTCCAGAGTTAGAAGAATGGATACAAAAAACTTTGTTTATGGCTGAGATGGACAAAATTACGAAAAAATTGAATAACAAAGAAGATCAGGAATTCTATGAGGAATGGAGAGACTTTAAAATTTACCTAGAAAAGAACTGGGATGTAAAGCACAATCTATTATATTTAGAACAATATTGAAACTAGAATATGATGTTATCTTAAGGTGTACTGGAGTGACGAGGGGGGAAGCATTGCGGGAAGCCACGGGGAGGGGGAGAGTAAAATGGGGATATTGGGGGTAAAAATTGAAACATTAATGGAACTGATGACATGTCAATATTTTCATGAAAAATAAAATTGTGTTCCAAAAAAAAATAATAAAAAAAGAAACCAGAAAGAAAAAGCAAATCTCATTTGCAAGAGTGCCGTATTTTGCAAGAAAACGCAATTGTGATTTATTTTTTGCTCTGTTTTTGAGATCCAGGATGTTATAACATACTGAGGCATTCAATTCTGATGTCAAATGCAGGGGTTTTTTTTTTACAGATTATATGCGTTTCCATTTTTTTCTTCTTCAAATGGAGGGGGGTAAACTGACATTGAGACACAGCACAAAATGCAGTGAGAAGAAAAAGGGGAAGGGGTTCAAAATCCAGCCCCCCGGGCTTGCAAATTCTCACGGCAATTTTCGACTAATTTTCTTAGCAGACATCTCAAATGCTAACAAATAGAAGTCGTGTCACGGAAATGTCCAAAACGCATGTCTTGGTTAAAGTTGCCCATTTCCTGCAGGGCATTTTTCCTGCAAAATTTTGCTACTGTTCACTATAAGGGAACTCTAATATTGGCAGGGACATCTGGAAGTCATTCAAAGTCTTTTTAAAAAGTATTTCACTTTCTGCATATTAAGTCAGACCTCCTTCGCTTTTACAGACGGGGATTTACTGCCTAAGGAAGAATTTTTGGATGTTAAAAGAATTAGGAGACCAATGAAGAGGGACATAATTTGATATTGTGTGTGGGTGTGCCTATGTGTATAAGACACACAGAGAGCTGTTTCTAGGTGGTTCCTTACTTTCAAAAGTCTGCTTTGTTACAGCTTTTCCATAGCCCTTTTCACAATAAGGCAGAATAGAAAGGCACAGGTGAACAAATGGTTTCGTCTACATCTCGGTATTTTGGTCCAATCTGAGGTTTATTGATGCTAAATTCTCTGGACTTACACAAACCCAAAATCCAATATGGTAGGCAAGCCATTGGTAGGCAAGCCAATATGGTAGGCAAGCCAATATGGTAGGCAAGCCAATATGGTAGGCAAGCCACTGGTAGGCAAGCCAATATGGTAGGCAAGCCAATATGGTAGGCAAGCCATTGGTAGGCAAGCCAATATGGTAGGCAAGCCATTCTGAACCATTTTTTCTCTCCCACCCCCATACAGCCAGTCCATTCTTTCCCTTTTCTACACTTTCTTAGAATTGGAAGCTGAAGGCATTAGGGTTGCCAAGTCGAACTTACCTAATAGTGGGGGGAGTCCATCCGGAAGTGACATCATCGCGTCAGGCACATTGGGGGCGGGGCCACAATCATTCATCGAATGATAGAGTGTCCCCCAGTAACATGCCTGACGTGATGACATTACCTCCGGGTAGCGTCTTCATGCCGCACACATCTCAGACTTTGGGGGTGGGGTTCCCCCTGCCGGTCCAGATTGGCCCAGCGGGGAATGGGCCTCTCGAGCGGGGTTCCCCCCCCCCCGGGGGACCTGGCAACCCTAGAAGGCATGGACCCATGGTATGTATGGCCTACTGAATTCAACAGGCACCTCCTCATAGGGTTGTCAGGTCCCCTCTGGCCACTGGTGGGAGGTTGGGTGGGGGTAAAGTTGCCAACATCAAGTTGGGAAACTCCTGGAGATTTGGGAGTGGAGCCCTGGGGAGGGCAGGGACCTCAGTGGGGTACCGTGCCATACAGTCCACCCTCCAAAGCATCCATTTTCTCCTGGGGAACTGAGTTCTGTAGTCTGGAGATGAGCTGTAATTCCGGGGGATCCCCAGGTCCCACCTCTTTGGCAGTGTGATGCTAAGCAGAGTTGCACCTTTCGAAGGCTGCTGACTTCAGTGGACTTGGAGGGGTGTAACTCTGCTTTGTAATACGTCTGTATCATTTCCTCTCGGCCTGGAAATCTCCCAGAATTACAACTAATTCCCAGACAACCAAGATCAAGTTCCCCTGGAGAAAATGGCTGCTTTTGAGGGTGGACTCTGGGGCATTATACCCTCCTGAGATCTCTCCCCTCTCCAAACCCCGCCCTCCCTAGCCTCCACCCCAAAAAGCTCCCAGAATTTCCTAACCCAGAGCTGGCAACCCTATCTTGGCCCCGTACATGTTTGCCGTATGAGTCCCACTCCCTGTACATAGAATATCTTGAATCTAGAAAAACAAAATTTTATTTCTGGAATGTCAGAAACAGGCCCTATCACATTGAATTGGAATTAACTACTACCTCTGATATTTTATCCATGGCATAGTACTCCCAAACTTTCAAACGCCATGAGGACATTAATAATTTATTAGAGGATTTGCAACTGTTGGCTATGACAACCTTTGCAGCCATTAATAAAACTGAAATTAAGTCTTGTTTGATTTTTGGTATATGAGAATCTGACCAGATCAAGTAAAATAAGTTCGGGCTGCATGG